GATATTACTTGAACTAGCATCTGGTGGACTTTTTTATGGATTTGTAAGATTCTGTCAAAGTTATGCGTGTTCCAGACCTGGCTTTTTCACATGTGTTCAATTTTGTTTTCTAGATGTGTTGTAATGTATATTTGAAAACTCTGGCAGCAGCCTTACAGCAATTATCAGAATTGCATAATACCTGATCAAATGGAGTTTCGCTTTGTATCGAATGACAGTGAGTGGCGAAAGGAATTTGAGGCAGTGTTCATGGCAGGTTAATGACTTCTTTGTGTAATGTTTGCCATATGGAGTACTTGCTTTCCTAAAGAAACTAAATTGCAAATGTGTAGAGAATTCAATTGACCAGAACTCTATGAACTAAACGACATGCTTTACAGTCTCCAATACGTCCCCATGTATTTTCAAAGAAATGCCCTCGATTCTCAATTAAAAGATCGTTCCTAACATGCTTCAGAAACCTTCACAAAGACAATGACTTCCTTTTTATTCCTAGTTCTTGTTACAGCAATATAATCAATAGGTGTTGTGCATTCATTGTGTTTTGCTTAAATGGTAATAACTAAAGTGACAATCTCTAGCAAACCATTTCTTGAGCAATCCTAAATTATCATTCCCACAGTGTGTAAATACATACTGTTGATCAGGGTATAATTAACCACAGTAACCCCTACAGTGTAGGTGCCATATTTTTGTTTCACAATGCACATTCTAAAGATTAGTGTACTACAACATATGCAAGGGGAGGACAGCAAGCATTCCCTTCCCTGCGATTCTTTATCTGAGGAAATGTTGGTCTGCTGTGCTGATTTAATAATTGCATTGTAATGCTTTAAAGCATTTCCTCGAGTGCAATGAACTGTTTTTTAAAAACCTTAAATACATCAAAAGGGTTACCACGTTGATTTGATTTTTCGATAGCTGTAAAAATGGAACTCGAAATGGGCTTACACAGAAATAGGATGCTATCTCTATAATGGAAAGTACATGGTCTGACAGTTTCAAATGCAAAGTTAACTGTACATATTCTAAAGAGATAAGGTCTTTAAAAAAAAAAATGACAGGCCCCTGTGCTAAGTATTAATGGCAAACGAATTTCTCCAGGAAGATGTTTGGCAAGGTAAAAGCTTGTGCTTTTTAAGAAAAATGCATCCTCTGTAAAATATGAATCATTGGCGACAGAGGTATGCTTTTTTGTGACACCTAATGACACTGGAAGGTCAGTGGCACTTGTATCTGTTAAATGGATTGGATTAAGTGGAAGCAGCCTCTTCATCTGCCACTTCCTTTTATAATGTAACTTTTTGTACTTCAAGGCAATAAAGCAAAAGAGAGGGAGTAAGCAGTGTGTATTAGGACTTTATATACGTTGCAGTTTTGAAAATTACTGTCCCCAAGGCTGAATTTTCCTCAAGCCAGGGTCATTTAAACATTCTTCGGTTTATTTGGCTTGTGTAAAGCTTTGCCCCGTCCTTATTTTTAAGCAATTTCCTGTGTAGCTAAGGTGACAGATAACCATCTAGCACCTATTAAGCTCTTTGTATGATGCTGTTAAGAAAATATTGAGGTGCTATTAACGAACATTGTCACAGCTGTGTTTATTCTGGCCTTGACTGTGCGCTGTCTTTTCACAACTAGCCCCAAACCTCAGAAGAGACTTTGCAAGATGGTTTAAAACGTGCAACAGGACTTTGGGATTAGAATTTAGAATCATCTGGAAGGTGTTTTTCAATGTATGTAACCAAGTTGGGGAAACCTGGACACCAAGGAAATTGATTACACTGAACTTTCCACTGTGTTAATGAAATGGTTAAGACTGTTCTTTTGCAAGCACTGTGTAAAACACACATGTATTGTTGAAGGGTGGGGGGTTAAGCCAATTACGAGTGCTTCACAAGAGGAGGGGGGAGCGACCTTTGTGTATAATTAGTTCTCTTATTTAAAGCAAAGATTTTGAATAGAATAACTAATTAGCTGTCATAAATGGCAAATTAAAGATTTTGGTGAGATCCCTAAGGGAATTAAACAAACTCTATTCCCTTCCCCTACACACACGCACTCTTGGGCTCTCTCTCCTCATTAAGCATGTTTTTAGTTTTGTACAATCCTGACAGGCAAGCACTGTTGGCGTACCTGCAGAGAGAACCTCTAACAAGCCATGAAATGCAGGTAGAATAGACTGCCTTTAGCTACTGTGGCTTCAATTTGAAGCTTTTTAGCTTCATTTACACTGAACATTGGTATTTATAGCAAGTTTTCTGATCCTAATACGCTTGCTTCAAGGAGCCTTTTTTGGAGACAGAAGAGGTAGGGGAGCCTTAGGGCAAGTAGAACACTAATTGATGGCTCACATCAGCAGTGCTGGACCAATTAGCCTCCCTTTTTCAGTTATGATAAAGAAATCTGATGCCTGAATGCCATCAGAGCTCTTTTTCATTTTAAACTTAAGCTATAAATTTAACTAACAAGCTCTTCCCTTGTTTTTTCCCTTCTTTAAAGGGAAAATACTAATTATACTGCACACATTCATAGCACTACTGATGTGTAGATGGTCAAAAGCTAGAAATCTGGATCCAATAAGGTCTTTCTTTAACAGGGGAAAAAGGAATTTATGCTTTGATACTTATGAAGAGCTAAGTATTGAGCAAAAACTGCTTGGAGGTTTTTGGAGGAAAAATTGCATCTCAAATCCTATACTGCCTGCCTGCATACTGGGAGATGTGTGTTAACCATAAAGCATGATTACTTTCAAACCAGCTGTACATTGCAAATGAGAAAATCCCCTAACCCAAACCAAGCCTTTAATTTTCATTTTTTAACCTTACATGAAACTAGTACTTTGGTTGCGTGTTCATGTCATTGTGCTACAGTCTTGCAATCTGTCATATTAAAATGGCAATCGGATTAAATATAGACTCAGCAGACATAAAATACAGATTTTATGATTTTACCATGGGTGTTTTATGTTGCTTTACAAAAACGTTTCAGACTGTACTTATGGATCATGAGGTTCTTTCCTACTGTATATTTGTTGCACTATTACTGCCTTGTAACGATCTCCTGAGATCTCAGAAGCAATGTGGAACCTGCCGACGGCTCAGGTGGGAGATCTCCAGGGAAATCCTGGTAGCTGCTATAAGTGGTACCAACGTACCAGTAGGTGGTACTCTTCTTTCTGGAGCGAAGTTGCCACAGAAATGCCCATGTATGGTATCTGGTTACACTGTGTTGTAGTTGGTACTACTGTCCTTTGTTTGACATATTAAACCAAGATCATGACTACTTGCTCATTAAATATCCTATGACACCTTATAAAACTAGGACTAACTCGGTATCCTGGCCAAAATGTCTCTTTGGACTTGCACAATATGCCCTTCCTAAAATTCCCCCTCACTCCAAGTGTTGAAGCAGTTTCTCGCCTCTCTATCTTGTCGACTGTGTAGCGAGACTGCTGGCATATGACGGTGGCTGTATTGAGTGGTGGACTCCTGCACATGAAACATTTTGAGATCCTCTGGGAGAAAATGCGCTAACCCAAAGCAAGGAATCTTATTATGGTTTTAGAAAAGTTAAGTGAGCCTTTGTAGGCTTATGGTTGTGCTGCACCATAGACTGTATACAAATGTTTTTTTGATTCTAGCTTTGAAGAGCGTAAAGACATTGCAGGATTGGGCTTCCAAAGATGCTTCATTGCCGAAGCCTCAGACAACAGTTTTTTAGAGCCTGTGTTTCCAAACCAGGGAACAGAACACCAGCAATAGTTTGTTCTATTAGATGGATCAATACCTCAGTGTGTGAGAAAGTGTCTTAAGAGCTGTTGTCCTGTGCTCTCATCTGTAGCAGACCTGTTATTGCTGCAGGAGAGTGGTGTGCGTAAGTGTTAGCAACAGTGGCCTGAGGGTGGCTTTTAGTCGAAACACAAATGTCAACCACAGATAGACTATTAGTGTTTAGTGCAGTTATTAAATGCACTTTATTTGTCCTTTAGGAGGCTAAAAGGCACACTTAAAGTGGGGCCTGCGTGACAGCAGGGCAATTTGCAGGTTTTGTTACTCCACTTGACTGTTGCAGTCACACAAGTAGAGTTAAGTGTAAAGAGAGGAAGCCCCATAATGCACAAAAGGCCATACATGTTCCGAAGCCACTTAGAGAGAACATCTCTGACTGGTGTTCGAGGACTGCGTCTCCGCCATCCTCATCACTGTTCTTAAAACTTCTAGAAAACTAAAGAAGAGGATTCTAATATGTTAATTTAGTTGAACGACTCTTCGTTATTGCGATGATCAACACTCTGTGGCAGATGTTTCATATTGAATTGTGCGGATGTTTATATTGGCATGCATAAGAAACTGCAGGCTTTTCTGAAAAATATTTTTTTAATGAGAATTGTGGGTAACTTGAGCCTCATTCCGTGATAAACCCAATGCCACCAGTGTTGATTTTTTTTTTCAGAGAGAAAATATACTGTATTACAGTATAGAGTACATCAAATACAGATAGCATATAGTTCTACTTGATTTTAGATACCCCTTTACCCGCTTATTTTAATGGATCTCTTAATGGCCTCCCCTTGTTTGTCTCTTCTTAAATTTCAATATTAGTGGCTAGAAAACAGGTTTCACAATCTTACTTTAAAAGAAAAAGCACAAAATGGATGCAATTAATTTTTTTCAGTTGACTACATATGTTAAATCAATGGCTTTTGCCATCCAGTCTACATTTAGCAGATTTCTTACTTTCTTATTTCTTACTTCTCAGTAACTCTTTTGTATTTTTTAAAACCATGAACATACAACACCAGCTGACCAAAAAACAAGAAAGAAATAGGATTTGTCCAGCTACCAGATTGAAGTAAATGCATAAAATAATATACTGTACTCTCTGCAAGCAACACTGTGAGTTCCAACAGCACAAACCTTATCAAAATAGAGTACATGAAAACTGGCTTGTTTATTTGGGCAGTAAATCATGTAAGACCGTTTTGTGCCTTATCGTTACAGGTGTACCCATGCTCTCTGTACAGCCCAAAGGGAAACAGAAAGGGTGTGCAGGCTGCAACAGGAAGATTAAAGACCGGTACTTGCTCAAGGCTCTGGACAAATACTGGCACGAGGACTGTCTAAAATGTGCCTGCTGTGACTGCCGTTTGGGTGAGGTGGGCTCCACCCTGTACACAAAAGCAAACCTTATCCTCTGCCGCAGGGATTACTTGAGGTAAGAACTGTAGGAGGACACTGACTGATACGTCACCATAACATTAAACTGGGGTGGGGGCTCACTGCGAACGAAACTCTTCAGCAGTGAACTAAGTCAACCCCGCAGAATTTCACTCTAAACCCGACACTGCGGGACTTATTTGTAAAATAATGTATTTAAAATGAAATAAATAGTGTCAGCCTGATTAACTTTCTGAGAACAGACTGGCAGTATTCGATTTCCAGACAGCAGAAACTCAGAAGTATTATTGTTTACCTATTTTGTTTACCGAACTGTTCCAAGATTTTATTTTTTTAGCCGTTTTCTTCCAATCATCTTTTTTTTTCTCAAGTTGGAACTGACATCCCAATCATGTGCTTGCTTTCCAATGCGTTGGGTGTTAATATGCAATATACATTTTTCCCCTTTCTCTGTTGGTTAGTACCAGGGTTCACAAGCAGGTACACCTCTAGTTTACAGGCCATAGTGAACTTAGTGAGGGGGAAACTGCCAGAAGTGAAACAGTGTAGCATAGTCTTATGCTCGCTGTTTGCACTCAAGGCAGCTTGGTGTCAACCTCAAAGACTCCAGCTTTTTTCTGCCATCTGCTCGCTAAATTAAACATGATTATTTCCCAGGCGTTAAGTCTTGCTCCCTTGGGCTTCCTACTGAGATCCTACTATTTATCTTCTAGACTGGTCCCTTGGGCCCCATGGGCCGACACCACTGTCTTCAACCTCCCCACTTGTCCATTTAGTTTTACAGCTGTGGATACGAGAATGACCACTCGGCAGCACAGATACTACTTAGTAACTATCTGGGATGGCGAGGTGTTAGGAAGAGGCATTAACATCCATCACATTTCTCTGAAAAGTTAATGCTGTTAAGATGCAGTCTAAAGAGGTTCACCAAGACTCGGACTGCCCTTGAAAGGTGCAGATGGCAAGGATGAGATAATAAAAAATATATGTAATGACTGGAGGAGACGGTTACTGCATTTGGCACAATTAAATATGATGCTCTAAAAGCGTGTTAATTTTTTAAAAAGTGAGCCCCCGTTTCTACTCCCAGCCTTTTTAAAAAGGCTATGATCACATCTTAGATATGCCTCACATAATTAAAACGTGAAGCTGCTGGGAGGGTTGAACGCGCATGCCCTGAGGCTAGCCTTGTGTCGGGCTCTAAAAAGAAGAGTGAAGGCGTCAGCTTTGGGTTATGGTAAAAAAAAAAATGAAACTGCAGGAAGTGGAGATGAACAGTAAGAATACTGGTTCTGAAATGGATAGCTCTCAAGTTTCTTATGGCGAGGCTGGAAAACTAGTCCTTGCCATTAAGCAGTTTAATTTCTGACATACACAGCTAAATATACTTCTGATTCCAACATTACACTAGAATGACAAAGATAATTCAGTCATGTTTTTTAATATTTAAATTTGGAATCACCAACTTTTTTTTTTAAATCACATATTCAGAATCTCCAATAGTTCTTCAAATTGGGATTTACTATAAGTATACTGTCACAACCTTCTGACATCACGAAGTCTGAACAGCACAACAAGCATCTACTGGAGGAATGATGTAGCTCTCAAGGAACATCACCCAGGGATTTGCAAAGTCCAGCTAATCACATATTTCAAATGTAAACTGGCAATTCATTGACTTAAAGGATCAAGATATGTTCCAAAAAAGTGCCACTATGTGTTAGACCTCTCCTGACACTTAACTACAGCACAGTGGGCTTGTAAATGAGCATTTACCTTGCCCATACTTCCAAGCAATTTGAAAGCAATTAAATTAAATATACTGCTAAACAGGTGGATATACCCCAGGCGATTTCCTTGCTACAATATAGCACCATAATTTACACTAAGTTTTTGGGCATTTTGTGAAAAATGGTAGTGTCTTACATTTCAATTTGTTGCAGAATGAGCTTATTATTCAAGTAATGTGTGTTAGAAGTAAAGGAAAATGTATTCTTACAGTCTACTTAATTCTGTGATACTGGGGAAATGCATCTGCTCACCTCAGGAACAAGTTGAAGCCTTGTGTAGTATTACACTTCTTTATATTTTGGCAGTTCATTAAATTCAGGCGAGTGGATCAAAAGCATTTTATTCCTCTTTTTGGAAAACTGCCATGTGCACATTAATTATGAGAGGCTGTACAGAGCACCTCCTTGTGTGTTTGTCCTTCAGAAACATGGGTACATAATGAACATTTGCTGCAGACTGGAAATGTTGCCTAAACATCACGTTGAAGTTTCTGAATCCACTTGACATTCAATTCACTTAATAAAAAGCTGAGGTTATTAGTATTTTTGCCACTCTGTTTCATTACTGAGGAGAACAATAGATTAATTAGCTGTTTCATATTTCTGGGCTGCGAATTCTCTGACCTAGTGATACAAGGTTGAGTAACCTGTCATGCTTTTGATTGCCAGGACTGAGGGCCTGAAATGGTTTTATCTTGTAGCTATTAAATATATTAAAAGAAATAGATTAGTCATCCACTTATCAAAGCTAAGAATTTTTAATTAAAATTATTTTTTTTAACTCCACTGCAAATACCCTGATTTCTGAGTCAAATCAGAACTGTTCTATTGGCAATAATGCAGGCTTTTTACTTGTGATCTTTGTGGTATTGTCAGATGTCAACAAGAGCATTTTATTGTTGCCTCTTAGAATGTAGAAACAAAATAAGTGCCAGATGGGTTTACTGCATTTAAATTTAGTATGATTTCAAGTCAGCAAAAACTCTAGAAAATCTTTTATGGCTCTCTCAAAAGCATTTGTTTTAGAATGTACTGGGACTGTTATATCTTCAAAAACAGACATCTTAATGCTTAAAAGAGGTCAAAACTTTGCTTTCCATTAATCACAGTCCTGTACATTTAATTTGACAGACCTGCATACATAGAAAAGGAAATAATCCTCAAAGGTATGGAAATGCAGGTCTTCAACACGAAACACTGGAGCAAGTTCACAAAGAAACGTGAACAAAGACAAGCAGGTGATGGAAGCATTAGAGGACTTTCTGAAGTTGCCTGGGCTGTTTGTTCAAACAGTTTAGTGAACATCTGTCTCGGCTAATCCACATTTTTCTTTTTATAGATTTAGACAGAAGAAGAAGGAGGGGGGGTTTAAAATGCAGATAGCTTTGGGTTTGGACCCCTACTTTGTTTAAATTAAACTCAACTCAAAAGGCCTACTACATGTCTAAATGTTTTCCTCTGACCATCTCTGACCAAATGAGAGTGGTTTGTCATTTTAGGAGCTATCTTACAGCTCCAAAAAAACAACCACATCTTTAACCAACATGAAAAATCTGACTATGAACTGTGGTTCTGTTTCTTAATTAAAAGTATGGTATTGCAGTGGAGAATTCCAAAACACAATTGTTTGCTTGGAGTGGATATTCCCATTATGTTTTTAAGGATTGTCACTCATGTTTTTTTTAAATTGCAAGAAATTTCAGGGAATTTCCTTTTTTCTTATGATCAGTTCAAAAACCGAGGAAATAAATTACTGGGAAAACACTCACTTAAAATATTTATATACTAAAAGTCACTGCTTCTTCTAACTCATTTGTTTTACATTAGTAGAAAAGATAACTCACCTAACAGCTCTTAAATGATGAGCTACAAAGCTGCAGAATTTAAGGTTTCATTAGAAATACTAGTCTCAATTTTTACCTAAAGGTAATGCAAGTGAATTGACTGCTTTGAGATTGATGAGAATCCCTTCACATAACTAAGAAGGGCTCCTTAAAGGATCTTTGCTACTTATTACTTCTGAACTCTTTCATAAGCTACGAACATAAGAGCAATTTTTCCAAGTGCATATTTTAAAAATTGGACAAACAATATAAGAATGTCTAAAAATAACATGCACTTTAAAATAAATGTAAATGTGCCTTTTTTTGTGAAACACCTTTATAATGAGTTACAAAGTGTTTTTTAACACTTGAATTTTAAGGACATGAGTTATAAATAAGAGGATGCCATTCATCCAATTCGGGGGGAAATGGCAGGGTATTAACTTTGACAGTGAGGATGGGCATCTTTTCCATACTTCCACATCTTTGTGTAAAGTGCCTCTCTTACATTCTATTTGGTTTTTAGTTCGGATTTTATTGCTGATCTTGCACTTGGGGGCTCTTCACTTCAAATTAAAAGTTTTGATTCCTCTCTAGGGTTAAGGCTTTAATATTCAATTTATGGTAAATGTTAAGCAATGTTTAGACAGAGAGAAGCTTTTTTAAATAGCTTTAAATCTTTCTGATCATGAATGGGGAAAACAATATCACAACATTTACAAACATCTTTGGTTGCGCTTGGTCTTACCAATTGATTACTTCAAATTACAGCTTAGTACTGCATTCACATGTTCCTTTGTCTGCCAAAACCCCTGCAAGCTTTGCATTTCATAATAAACCATAGATCTTGTGTCTAGCAAAAGACAACTGTTTGCTTTCAGACAAGCTCATATAACACAGAAGACTATGAAGTACAGCATAAGTGGGTAACTCTAGTTTTATCTTTTATGGCTGCTGAATCCATGCAAGTTCATATTCTAAAATGATCTGAACATTGAAAGCAGGAGAAAACTTCTCAAAAGGCTGACTTAAAAATAATACAGCATCAACACAAAGAAATTAGAAATACTGAATACATACATTTAAAGACCTCAGATCATTTTTTGGCTTATGCAAAAAAGTCCTTTATCTGTAACTAAAAATGATCCCATTTACTATGCTATGGCCATATATAAAAAAGTAAATGACTGCAACCTGTAAAACAGCATTTTTGACAGGTATTTTTAACTACAGTAAAATACAGGAAGAGGTGAAGGACATGAGCTGTAATAATCATAGATAACCACAGCAAGGATATGGTATATGCATTACAGATTCTTTGGGGAAAAAAAATCCTCCATGGAAGAATTTAACTGAAAAGCTCCACAAGAAAATTATTATTCTAAACATAATACAAGCAGATACTAAAAACCTAAGTTAAATTTCTTAAACTATAAGGGTCCTAGAGATCGGTACCATCAACCAAAACATTTTCCCCAAAGAATGAAGCATATCATTTGAATGGCCAATTATAAACAGGAATTTTAATGACAAGCCTTTCTGAGTTTCATATTTATACAATCCCCAATGTTTGTATTCACTGTTCAACATCAAGGGAAGTTGTTTTGTAATGATCCTGATGTGAGTAAATATGACTATTTAAGTAGATGGGAAAACAAAGTTAGATTGAAGTGCAGTTAATATTTGCCAAGATATTAATATCTGCTGCTGTTGTTTGGTGATGCTTTTTTGAAGACTTGAGTCAGTGCTGAAAGTGCTGCTGAGACCTGCAAAAACTGAACATAACAGACCATTTAAAAACATACACATTCTGCAGCTGAGTTAAAGCCATCAGGTTACATGTGTCAGTCCTATATGATGTGTACTGTAACAAAGAGTCTGTTGGAAGATGGTTGAATTGATCAAATGTATCTGCTTGTGAATTAAGAATAGTCAACTGTGATTCTTAGGCTGTGACCATAACTTACTGTATGCACTGAGTGGATGATCTGTTGTTTTGTGAGGAAGGACTTGTGTGCATACATGTTTCAATTTATCAACATGTTACAGGTCAATTATACATTGTTTTGTACTTTTCAGTAGATTTTAAACCTGGTAAAAGTCAGTTTGTGTTCTCTAGCCCTTCATACTGCACAATCACATATTACCGTGTTCCTGTTATAGAACTACTAATTGTTTTTACAACAACCTCTAAAAGCAACACAAAAGTCATACTGTTAGATGGGTGACACTCCAATAATGTCGGTGTAAGTAAAACTTTATCCTAATTGCAGAGTTTCCAGAAATTTGGTTTTGTCTCTTAACTTTAGATACTGTAACTTTCATTTTAACAATACTCAAACATACAGTATATGGTTTACAAAAATGTTCACCTTTGTTGAAATGACAATCAGCTATCACTTTTGCCTCTCTTTTTAATCTGGATGATTTCTTTATAATCCTTAGAACAACGTGCATGCTAGATCTATGATAAAAGTTCTTCAAATTAAACATAAGGTCAGTCCCTTGGTAAATTCTGAGGAAAATGGTTAATTTCCCCCTGCTTGGAAGGTATTTACAAACGTTGGTTTCACAAGGCTGAAACCTTGATGGATTGGCTTCTACCTAAAATGCTAGACAGTTTACCTAAACAGAAACTGAAGTGACAGGGTCCATTCTGCACACATGCTGGAGCTGACAGACTTTTGTTACCTCTCCAAAGTTATCAGTCTTCAGTGTTTTTACCATCTTGGAAAAAGTGTATTCTTAGTACATGAATCTTTTGAACTTTAGACTACCTTCTAGAATGTAGCCCCCTGTGTAAAATCCAGCTGGATTGTGCACAAGCTAAGTCTCATTAGTTATATTGGTTTAAAGAAAAAAAAAACTTTAAACAATTCAATTGGTTGCCTCAGACCCACTTTCTTTTCTTTTGCAATGTGGAAGGAACAACTCTTTGAAGAAGGGGATTAGAGCCATGTGATAACTTTAATTAGATCATTAGCAAAGAATTAACATCTAGGTTTGTACCCTCATTAACAAAAAAAAAACATCATGTGTGTACCAAGATAGATTTGTGTACTGCATTATTTTTTTTAATTACGGGAACTCTCAGAATGTTATTAACACTCAGCTTGGTACCTGACTATTTTGGATCTTTGTTTTTCAGGCTCTTTGGTACTACAGGGAACTGCGCAGCCTGTAGTAAATTGATCCCAGCCTTTGAAATGGTGATGAGAGCGAGAGATAATGTTTACCATTTGGACTGTTTTGCCTGTCAGCTTTGTAACCAGAGGTAAGGTGAAACACATCGTGGCTGTGGAAGATGACCTTTTGAAATCTATAATGCTATCCTGAAATGGCAACCAACTCAAACATTAGTCTAGTTATATTAAAAGAGAAAAAGGCTTTTAAATGTTTTTCAGTTATTGTCCAGTAGTCAACTCTGACATTTCAGCCAGTGTCATCTTTTATTAGGTGTTCTGATTTCATTATTATATTGTTTAAAACGGTACACTTTCAATCTATTTTGGTCTAGTCCTGGGATTAAAAGCTTGGAAAACCTTTAAAAAAATAAATTTTGTTCTGACTGTACAGAAGAATTAACATAGCTGGCAAGCGATTGATAATGATTGGGATCAAACTTTGAAAGTTTAAAAAACAGACTGCAAACAGTGGCAAAAAATGAGTGAAGAAAGTTGGTGAATGCAGATGGTAATGGAATTATACAAGTTGAAATAACCTGAAGTTCTCAGCCAATGGAGAAAGCTCATGAAACCTTCACCACTAGGACTCGGCATTCACAATTTTATCCAGCTTCTCCTGAAATCTACAGGATTTTGGATTTTTTTTTTAGTATTTTTTACTGTGATGCCAATGTGAGCCACCAGCACTAAAGCTGCCCCTAAAATACATAATTCTAAAGGATCCAGTTTACAGTAATGCCGAACAAAATATTTGTATAACACACCAAGAGGTAAATGCCTAACAAAGGTACACTGGGTTATACGAGGCACATACAGTATGTGTGGGCTCATGCTAGCACTTATAAATTAATACTAAGCAAACTGAACTGGCTTAAGGATTTACATACAATCTTGCATGTTACAAACCTAATACGTTACTAAAGTTTGAAACCCATTTCTGTTAAGTCAGCTCGGGGTCCAACATTTCAGTGTTCACCTGAAAGCAAAGGAATCCATCTGGAAAAAATGTTTAGAGCCCTCTTTTTAACACCTTTTTCCCAGTGACATTCCTACTGCACCAAATACACAACAGAAGCTTTGCCTTCCTATTCCCCTGTCGCAGTCTGTAATTGAAATCTGGAATCTCTACATATTGCAAGGGTGAGCTCTGTCCTCAAGCTACAAGCCTGTGATGTTAGCTCACTGTCTGTGGATGGAGAAGGTCAGTTTTTGGCACTGCAATGTGCAGAAAAGTGCAAAGTGTTCTCCACCCAGTGATGCATGTCCAAATTCCATTTTACAGGCATAATGTATATCGTAACACGTGTTGAACAGCCTTTAAAATGTGACTGCATGCACTGCTCCTGCTGTTCAGGGATTACAGTGGCAAAATTCACAAAACAAACCACATCAATCTAGTATTTAGTTCAACTGCTTAATGAGCAGCTACTGTATATACCAGTGTATATACTGAGAGGCATTATAAACACCAGTACTCATTTGTTATATTCTTAATGCTTCTCAGTATATAATCATTTATACAACTAACTTCTTTTCAATAAATAGGAGGGCTGGGAATGTAAATGGTTTTCCTATTTTCAAAAAAGCTTTATTTGTGCAATGTAACAAAGCAATTGGAACTTTTTCTCCCCCTCAATTTGGTTGGACGAGAAAGGAGAAAAAAGATGCATTTAAAATTTTGGCACCAAAATGTTGTGTGGAGCACTGGCCCTGTGGCCTGTTTCCTAGGAAACCAATGTGATGAGTGTGCCAGGACTGGGAGTGAGAGCATGGTTTCGCTTGATGCCAGGCCTCATGTTTACGTGCCTTGAAATAGTATAACGTCTGCAACAATGAATTTTATTTAAAAAGCACCTTCATGGTCAAATTAAAAGGGGCTTCGTACAATGGACCATTAGGAAACAAAATACAGTCCAACCAAGAGAATGTAATAATTCCACAGAAAACACCAACTACTACAACGTATGAGAAATCAGCTGCAAGTGGACAGAAAGGAAAGGTGTTAACAACACAGTGAGATCTTTATGAAGGAAAATAAAGGTCCCTTCTTCAGGTGGGGTGGCAAGCCGGTCTTCCGCCTGGCTGTGTCTTTTAAAAGCATGTGCTCTTTTTATTTCAGGTTTTGCGTGGGGGATAAATTTTTCCTAAAGAACAACATGATTCTCTGTCAGGTGGACTATGAGGAAGGCCAGCTCAATGGAAGCTTTGAAACCCAGGTTCAATAGCTGCTTGGGTGCTGAACCCACACTGGATGGATGTTCTAAGGCACTGCAAGTGAAGAGCGTCTGTCTGCTTGCCTGCAATACTTTTTAATCCTTATTGGTCCCGAAGGACTGTATTGTAAATGTCATACTTTTTTTGCCCTCTTCCCCACCCCCATACTGAGCAGTTACAAGTTAGATGTACAGTTGTGCCTGCTTAGCTGAGCACTGTATTGCCTGTATGTTTGTGAGGTCTGTTTTACCTTTTGGGTATGGCTCCTGGAAGGGTCTGTACAGTCTGTTTTTTCTGTATATATAAACTGGAACATTTATTTTATGAAAAATGTAATGCAATTTTATTACTAGTGTGAATTAAAGATTCTTAAATGTTCACAGTGATGTTGGTTTACTTTGAAAAAAGATACTCATGAGTGTGGACCAGACAAAGACTGTAATGTTGGCAGCATTTCAATTCTGAAAGCTTGATTTTTTTTCCCCCCCACAAATAAGAGTATTTTTGCAATATTTAACTGGGTTTTATATTTAATATGTGTTTTAAGTGTTTAAGTATTGACCTAGAAATTCTACAAATTCAAAATGGCTCATGATTTGGCTGATAGGGCAGTGCATAAAACTATGATCCATTTCCAATTAAACTGCAACTTGTAATATGACTGACAAGTGTTGACCACAGTTGTACATGGAACCAAAAACAAAAAAACAAGATGCATTCATCAGGGAGATCCTCAGGTTCTCAGGGTTCAAATAAACATCACTCTATGCAAGCTTGTTACTCAGAAAAATATACCGATTTATAGATGTCTATTAATTAAATGTTTTTAGCAACACAAGTGTGAGTGACCATGATACATTTGAGTGACTGTTGCATGAGTACTAAATCACCTCCTAAATGAGAGATTATTGAGCAAAGATGAGATATAAGATGATGGATGTCAAATCTGCTAAAAAAATCAGGAAGGAAAACATCAGAGGAAGTCAATATACAGGTACCCTGTCTTTCATGAAAGGCATCTTAGTGCCTTTGTTATGTTGGAGGCTGGAGCCAGTCACCTCAGCTGGACCCTCCAGCCAGGCAGTAAAGTCCTCTTCAGCAACAATTCAAGGTTTTGCATTGAGCCTCTAATGGATGTCTGTGAGTGTGGTGAAAACAGGCAGGAAGATATGCTAATTGCTATGTACAACACACCAATCAGACGGGGAGGTCCAAACGTGATGGTCTGGTATGGACAATTTACTGTAGTCACAACAAACCTACACTTGTAGTGATTGATGGCCACCTTGCTGCAGGGCCCTATACTGCTCAAGTTCTGGGACCTGACACAACAACTTTCCAACAGAACAATGCACGTCTTGCAGCTTCTGACGTAACAATCACTTTCTCTAGGGATGGAAATGTGACAGTCGAGCCATGGGTGCCCCAAACTCCAGATCTGTGGGATGAGCTGGGAAGACGTGTGATCTAGGGTTCAGAAAGCAATCGGCAGACGTGTCTGTGGCCCTGTAATAGGAGCGCAAAAGAATCCCATAAGAGCTACACCAATGGAATTCTGGTTCTTCTCATTTTTCTTATAATACAACTGTGAATTTGTTGTAGATCTATTTCATTTGATTTTAAGCGTATACTTAAATAGGAATATACTTTAAATATATACATGTATTACTACCCTGATGAAAAGGTTATCAATAATTACCAAAGATTTACATATGAGATAATGTTTTTTGCTTAACAATTTCTAAAAATAAACCCTATAGTATAGATATTAACCCTACCTTTCCTATCTTTATATATATTTCTATGTGCACCCCCAGACTCTTAAAATTGTGACAACAAATTTAAGAAGTTTAGAAATTTCTTGGCATCACAATTTGTTTAGTGCATGGGGACCTCTGTAGTAAAGCAGTTCAGATTTTGAAGAATACCACGGTTTTGTTTAAAGAGCAGAAACTAAATTATGACAGCAAATAAAATTAAAAAAATAACACATTTCAGAATCAAACACAGTGGATAAAAAATTCTAAATGTGTTAAAAGAAATTTACACATAATATATATTATGGAAATAACAATTTTCTTCCCAAAATCTGTGTGCATCCTTGTAAGGAGCAGTACTCAAATTTGGAGAAAAATAAAAGAATGTCCTATCCCCAGCTTCAACATAAAAAAACTAGGACTGAGGTCAAGTGTTTGACACAAGTCCAGTTTTGGTGTGTGTGAGCAATACAGCTTAGGTTGCTTTGGCTGCTTTTCTTTTGTGATTTTATTCTGTATTAAAAGTATGGCAGTTGTTGCTGTCAAAAACACAAGGCATACTTTGGGATTCATTAGTTGTAGGTCTTTGACCCAAGAATTAAGGTTACCATATGGATTTCTCTTCCGCAGCTCAGTGACCACAGCCTCCCAGAATAACGATCCTCTTGTAGGAGCTCATTGCACAGCAGTGATGTAACTTGTTTGAAAGGCTTGCAAAACTACTCGGCAGCGTGTGGAAACTGATCTTTCTGTTTCACTAAAATTCTGCAATGTGTAAGGATGTAGCTTGCTATATAGTTCCTTCAAATAAAAAAAAAACAAAAAACAACATTTTACCGGCTACTAAAATCCCAAAGGAAAAGCTGCAAGTAATTTTTGCTTAAATGGAAATAGTGTGTGTAGCTTACAGCATTTTTTTAGAATGGTCAAATAGTACAAGAATCTCAAACTGAAAGGAAATTAAGAGATGAATGCCAACTAAATTTAAAAGTTAAGCAATAATTCTTAACTTTTACTATTACCTATAACTTACTTTTGCCTTGAAATAGTAATTTAGTAACTAAATTAGCGATCTCAATACTGCAGATAAACAGACTATTCATGTTATTATGTAATTATTAAGAAACAAACTCAAAGGAAAGGAGTACTTTAAAGACTGTATAAAAGGCTCTAGACTTAAAGATTCTTTGGCTGAGCTGAAGAATGATATTAGAATTGAGACAGAAGAAAATTGCATCTTGTATTACTACAACGGTAAAGATCTATAAAAGAGAATAAACAGTTAAAAGTCAATAAGGGATTAAAGATGGAATGTGCTAACTATAGAGTATAGTCACCATGCTAGAAGAATACTGCAAATAAGTTTTTACAACAGAAGAAATCAAAAGAGATGTCCCATCTTATAGAACAAGCTCAATTGGTCTTTGTTAATTTTAATTTATACTCGGTTTACGCAGCAGATAGGGTGAGTAAAAACCAAGCATTCACCAGGTTCTAATGGTATGTTCCCAGTCCTACTAAAGGGAATGAGAGATGTTATTCATGGACTCCTGACTAGAATATTTCTGCTCTCCTTTATAATGGGAGCAGTACCTACAGATTACCTGGAGAACTGCCAATATGATGAATTTATTAAAGGGGAGACAGAACTAAAACAGAAAACAATAGAAAAATGAGTCTTCTGTTACTGGTAAAGGTTTGGCAATGATAATGCTAAATTAGAAAATAACTAATAAAATACGGTATTTTATAAAAGTATATAAATTGAGAAAGGGAAGGTATTTAGCTAACTTGCTTGAATTCTTTGAACAAGCAACAAGGTTTGGAAATAGAACTATAGCATACTAGGTAGTTGAGATCCACACTCTGGGCCCTCTTAAGAAACAGACAACATTTTAGTTTCTTATTCATTTATTATTTAAGATGCTAAACCACCAAATGAGTAAAATGGGTTGTTCTTGTTTGCAATGTTTCTTAGGTTCTTGGGCCTTATGTACTGTAGATTTATTAAGTTAGTCTGGTTATGACTACATGAGATGTTCTTGAGACACTTATTTCAGCAGGAAGCAGACCAAAGAAACAATCTACTAACAAATTAATCAAATGTGCATTAATTAAATATTCATTAAAAATTCAGAAATACCGGCAGGTGTGCAAATAAAGGATTAGCAAGACAGCAATTATACCACATAAGAGTACCTTTTAATTGCAGCTACTGGCTTGATTTATACCAAAGAGAATCAGGCTCTGTGCAGGAGTATGACTGAACGCTCATTTTCTAGAAAAAAAAAAAACAGAAAAAAACACATTGTAACATAACACAACAAAAGCATCACAACAGAATGTGCTTTCAGTTGTGACCTTGCAAAAATGAAGGTCGTTATCTCACAACTGGTTTCACACATGAGCATTTGAAAACCACATATACTGTACAAACATCAGGACCTTACAGCAATAAAAAAACAAAACAATCACAGATTAGCATAATTTGTCTTTGGTGAAACATCTAATTGTACTAATAACCTTTATATTGGTACATCAGCCATTGCCAGTGATTACAAATCATGATTAGACTAATCTTTATTGCCAAAAGTAAACATTTTTGGTCCAAAGAGTACTGCTAAGCTTTTATTAAATACTGTCAGTAACAGTATACTCTTCATTCACAATCCTGCATATACAGTATAATACAGTAAGTGTGCATAGAACTACAGAATGAGTCAGAAATCCCACATGCAAATAACTTTTTGTTGTTGTGTATCATCACAGTTTAGAGTTCTGTTAAATAAGACTGTCAGTGGTTGTTTATCAAGGTATTTTGTTAAGACAACCTCCTCCTCTCCCAATATGTTTTTAGGTTGCCTGTAGAAACCTCAGCGATGATGCTACCTATGTTTTATATTCTCCCTCCCAACCCAACAATCTGCTCTCCTGGATTCTTTGCTGAATAATTATCTTTGCCATAGCCACTGCTTCATTATGTGAAGAAATTGCTCATGCTGAATAATTATAATTATTCTGACAGTATAGTTCAGAAGGCCACACAGCCTTTAGAAATGTAATAGGACCAAAATCGTGTTTACTTAATGCAGCAAATACTTTTTCAGGGTCAAAATCTTGTGCTCTGTTTTTCTCTTAGAGAACTACAGTACATGGCTGGATGACTGTAACAAGCAGATCAGAAGGTCACACAAAGACGTGGTGCTAACAAGGAAAAACCCAACCTGTCCAGCCCATTGTGGTTTCTCTGCACTGCATCTGTTTGACATTGTCCCTCTCAATACTGTGTCCTTTAAACCTCACTTGGCTGTGACTGCCAAATGAGGTGCCACTTTCAGTCATGCTTTCGTGATGTACTGTTTTGTTCATTAAGCTAAACTGAGGCAGACCTAATGCACCAAGACAGGCCTTACTTGTACGCAACGCAACATAAACACATTTTAAAACACGGGGGTTCAATTTGGTGATCTGGTTTTGCTATTTTAGTTTTGGATGGGTGTATTGTGTGAATAGGTAGGGGTGTCCAAATCATCTCATACATACACGGTCCAATACAGGATTATGATGTGCCTGAGCAGACAATGGACTTTAGACTTGCTACACCCTTGACACTGGACAAACATGCATGAATTCAGGGTCAAGAAAAGATAGCCGTAGTCCTGGCCTTCATGTTTTTGGATTGTTGGAGGAAACTGGACCCTCTGAAGAAAACTCACACGGCCACAAGCAGGCACACAAACCCCACATCAGACTGAAGAGATCCCGGAACCCAGCAACTGTAAGACAGCTAGCCACCCGTCTAACATGCCACCTCCCCAGTCATTCGAAAGCTGAAAAGTAATTCTTCATTAATGTGTTATATAAAGTCTTGAATGCAGGCAGATTTCTCGCACATGGATGTGGATTATAAGCGCAAAGAGTCCAAAAAGAAAAACACAGGCAGGGTTACAAGTAATCAAGAAAAAGGCATTAAGTGTGCATGTAGACAAATGTTGGGTGATATTGTGTTTAGATGAAAAAAGTTTAGATTAATTTCTTTATAAAATGAAAATCATTCGGGAACTGTTTGTATCTTACTTCATCACAACCAAAATAATTAAACCTTAAGGAACTTAAGTAGTGCTTTATGTAAAAACAACAAACGTATCTACCATCAGAAATGTTTATTGTGTCATTTTACATACATCACATTGCTTTAGGCACTTTGGGATTCCAAGACTTTAGACATAATATGCAAGTTCATACACAAATCTCATAACATGTATAATATAATGTAGCATTAAACAGATCTACTTATACAGTCATCTCATTTTTTAGGTAAGCTACATTGCTTAGAAACTGGTTTAAAACCTAGATGTAAAATTCTGTATGTTACATTCCCCACCCCGATAAACACAGCCTCTCCTATTTTACCTCACTGCAAATCATGTTTGACTTTGAAGCGCTAATTTTGAAGTTTAGCCCATTTTTATTTGCTACTTTGAAATGTATCCCTTAAACTTCTACAGCACCATGAAAGCTACAGGCAATTAGAACGAAGGATAAATGACCAAACTGAGATGTGTTCTGCATTTAATTTTCATGTTACATACTGTAACTACTAGATGCCACATAGAGGTTTGGATTGCACATTTGTGAGTACAGTTTCCTTGTTTATTTGCAAATAATCTAAGTAACATTTTACAGATTTTGGGGATCAAAACTCACACATTTATTCTACAAAAGTAATCTCATGGTCTAATGGTATAATGTATTTAACTACTTCTTTGTGGGCAGAAACTCTGGTCCTGAAGAGCCACAATTTAAGGGTTATTTCTTAAATCATTAATTTTAACACACATGGAACACTTTTATTTTGACCACTGATGCAGTTCATCTTTTCTGTAAGTCATTCAGAAAATTTCTGAAATAAAAATACCTGCACTCTGTCTCTCAAGGACCACAGATTTGATTGAACCAATTAACCTACTAAATTAATCAAAACTCACACACATTCCATATCTTCCCAATGATTTAATGGTGACCTATAAGACCTGCAGAACTGTGGTTCTTCGAGTCAAGATAAGGTCACTGCATATTTAGTCTTTAGACTTGAAAAAGCCTGCATCAGTAAATAAAAGTGCAAAACATAGCTACTGACAGCTCAAATGCTTGCACTTTTAACTACCTGTGTCTTCAGTATTAAATAATGACAGGAAATATATTCAACTGTCCAACCTACAGTAGCTGCTGAACGGATAAGCTTTATTAAGTTCAGTGACAATAAGGTGATAAGTACAACATTATTTTAATTGAAAACAGTTCCTCATGCTTTATTTTTACTTTTCTAACTAACAGTTAAATGTTTTAGAGATTTGCCAGCCATCTCCATTTAAATCTGAAACACTGATTTACAATCTAATGAATATCACTGGTAAGTCACTGGAAATAAATGTTTCATGTTCACTAGCTAAAGGCCACCATAGGAGAGACAAGAGTGATGGACTAGACTGAATGCAGAGCTGCAGTTTCTGTGCTTGTGCAGCTCTTGCAGTAAAAGTAGGAAACAGAAAACTCTTTGGCAAAGGATGGGCAGAGAAAACTCAGGGAAGGTTAACAATTGGTTAAACAAATCGACATGCTAGATCTGAATTGGTCAATCCCATTCAGTGAGCTTTCAGTTAGCGATTGTATCATATATTTTATCGATTTCTAGACCTGAAAAGACAAAATGGAAAGATTTGTTAATGGAGAAGAAGCAAGCTGGGTTTTAAACTGTCGTATCAACTGTAAATGGAGATGAAAACCGATATAGCTGTTAATCCAATCCTTAAAGGCTGCACAAGGGAATTAAAGAACAGCCCAAAACCTCAGAGAGAAACAATGACAGGTTTGTATATAAAAACAAATATAACTTAAAAGCTAAAAAGGAGACTTTCTGCCTAATTCCCTGCAATGAGATATCTTCTGGCAGCCAAATAACTTATACATGGACTTCAAGCATTTACTGTACATAGTACCATAAACATACTTCCCATTTGTTTCAGGGTTTCTGTACTTTTGCCAAATGGAACTCATTTTTGAAATAAACATATACACAAAATGTAATTAACTGCTGCACTGCAAAATTGTTTTAATGTCACGTACCTATCATTTCCAACATAGTCACAGCAAGAATCTGCCAGGTTTGTCTCAACCTTCTCCAACAGGATTCTCCACCTTTAACATATTTGAACATCTGATAGCAAATTAAGAATGCTAAAAACTTTGTAGCCGCAAGATGACATTCCATGCATTTTCAGTGTGCATATTTCTAGATTACATCTGGTGATGGAGAAAGTGCTTTCTGTGAACCCGGGATCATGAATTTTTGCATGCTTCTACTGGTCACTTTCTTTGTTGGCTGTGGACTGTACATGCAAGAGCTCACCACACGTCACCACGGATTAAATAGGTTATTACATCACATAGAGGCTGAATTTATGCAGGAGCACCACACATGAGCAGCCTTGCCATTCTTGCGATAAATGCATGATTCCAGTTCTCAGAAAATACTTTTTTATTATCAATGACTGAAAATAAATTGTGGATTGAAAACCAAGGAAAGGGCTTGTCTTTAACAGCTCCTCCCCATTTCGAGCTGCATTTGACACATTCATCTGTGCAAAAAATTAAAAGTTAAACCAAGGCTTATTTACTAGTATTAAAATATAAAAAGGTCCGTTCTCTAATTTCAACATGGAAAAGTACAAAAGTACAAAAAAGTACTAGATGCTCTCCAATACTGCACAAGAAACTGAATTACAGTTACCACACTATAGACTTTTCTCAAGAAACAGAATTACACTGAGAATTCTGTGCTGCTTTCACAATATTTAGCTAATATTTTATTCCATTCTTCCAACTTAGCATATTACTGTATGCATAACCATGGATAGGAACATATCAGACAAAAAGTGGTAATTAACTGCTTTGCATGATAAAATAATGTGCCTTTGTCACAGAACCACCACTATTAATCACTGCCCTACAATGAGGCACTTAAAAAATGTACCTAATACTTTAACCTTTTTAAATAGTTTATGATCATTGTGTTGTATATGTAAAAAGCTTTACAGTATAATTATCATTATGCATTACAATCAATGTACAATAATTTAATATTGCAATCTTTGAGAAGCAATTACAAGCCTAGAAAAAAATATCTGTTTAGAAATAACCTGAATAGTAAGTAATATTAATTTACACAGGTGCTGACACTGAAGTATTTTTCCTATCTGTTGGGAGCATTTTTACTAT